GTTTTTAGAAATCTTCTTTGAGAAGGTATTTTCTATAATTTAGTTCAAGTGTACCCCTCCATTTCTTATATAAGCATGATGAAACTACGTGTCACATACTTTGGACATGTTGTTAAGAGAGGCTGGTCTCTGAAAGAAGATGCCATGCTTGGAAAGGTGGAGGAGTGTCAGTGAAAGAGAGGAAGACCTTCGACGAGATGACGTGACATAATGCCTTCAGCAATAGACCCAAGGATATCAGACATGATGAGGATGGCACAAGATAGGACAAAGCTCAGCTCTGTTATTCATAGGGTCTAAGCCATCAGAGCTCCCTCTAACAACAATAAAACAGTTTATTATGCCACTTCACTGATTCGAGGGAGCTCTGGTGGCCTAGTGGTAACGAGTTGTGTTGCCAACTCAAAGGCACATGATTCAAATCCCCCAGCTGATCTGAAGGAAAAGGATGGACAATCTTCTCTCCTGCAATTTACTGCTTCTGAAAACCTGCTGAGAGTCAGTACTTACTCAACAGTACGTAATCATTGGTTGATTAGGGGAAAGAACTTTTTTTTTCTTTTCTGACTCACACATCTTTTTAAATTATTATTAATTTTAATAAAAAATTTACAGAGATTTTGGATTTCCATTCATTCATTGTTGTACTTTTCTCCCTGCCCACTCTCTCCTCTCCAGTTCATTCTTCTCTTTGAAAAGTAAAAGAAAAATTCTTTCACTGTTATACAATCCCTGTTAACACTAACTTTTGTAACCAGAAAACCCATGATGATCAAGTCAGTTCCAACTCACAATGTCCTTCTAGGACAGAGCAGGTCTGTTCATAGGATTTTCCAGCTGCACTCTTTAAGACAGACTGTCACATTTGACTCTCAGAGAGGCTAGGAAGTTCTAACAGCCAATATTGAGTTAGCAACTGAATACGTTAACCACCAAGGCTCTTTCGACCCATGATCACTGCTGTTTGTGGAGAAGTTCTGCCTGTGGGAAATGGGAAGAGAAATGAGCACTTTTTTTTCACGGCTGTGAGGGACCTATCAAGAGTACTGAAGAGCAACGATGTCAAGCTGGAGACTAAGGTGCGCCTGATCCAGGCTAACGTCTTCGCAATTACATGTGATGCATCGGAGAGTTTGGACAGTGAATAGGGATGATAGAAAGAGAATTGATGCCTTTGAGCTGTGGAGCTGGAGAAGATTGTTGAATATACCATGGACTGCTAGGAGAACAAGCAGGTTTGTCCTGGAGAGGGTGAAGCTAGAATGTTCGCTGGAGTCAAGGATTCTGAAGCTTCGCCTGACATACTTTGGGCATGTTGCGAGGAGGGACTGGTCCTTGGAGAGGGACATCATATTTGGGAGAGTGGAGGGACGGTGCAGGAGAGGTGAGATGGATCGATTCTGTGAGTGGAGTGGTGGGAATGAGTGTGTTTGGGACAGTGAGGTTGGCACAGGATAGAACAGCATTTAGGGCTCTTGTGCACAGGGTCGCTGAGTCACAAGCAACTTGATGGCACATAACAAGAAAAACAACAACAGCTTTTAAACTGAGAAGCTCTGCTTATCATTCAGCTCATTGCCTCCACGTCCGAACTGACTCACAGCTGACCCTCCATCAGGTTTTCTGAGACTGTAAATCACCCCAGAGGAGACTGTTCATCTTCCTTCCCTGGAGTCCCTGGTGGATTCGAACTTCTAGAAAGTTGCCTCTTTGGGATTAGCAATGCGACTCCCGATGCCCTCTGCCATGACAGCCCATCAGTACTTGAGAAAAAGGAAGCTCCAATAGGTTAATTAGTATCTTGCCCAGCATAAAAAATGAATAACTGATAAGAGTAATGTGCTGTCTTGCTTAATCTAAAATATATGTCCTAAATAACAATATAAATAACCTCTCTAAAAATGACAGCATTTTTTACATATCTATAAGTGATGCTTATTTTAGAATATTAAATTAGATGAACAAGTAACTTATTTTTGAAGACAAAGTTTAGCTGATTGGAATGAATTTGTTGATATAAAAAAAGATTTCTGGAAAGAACTTTAGGGTTCTGATATGAGTCAAAGTAAAAGCTGCATTAATATCACCAACATTTATCCTGGTGGCACAATTGGTCTTCTGCACAAAAGGTCAGCAGTTCAAACCCATTGGCCTGATGTTCCTGTTACCATGAGTCACAGTCCACTGGATGGAGGTGGGTCTACTTTGATTTACTGCCTGGCCCTGGGCTGGCTAGTAGTCAAAAGGAGAGGAGTGTGGAAGGTTCTTTTCTATAAATATTCACTTCTATGCTTAAATTACACATGTAGTATAATTTCCCCCTCAATCTATGGCAGCCAGATGATGAAGGAGTGTCTTCCTGTAAAGCTTTCCTGCCTCTGGAATCGGGGGGTGGGGGGGCGGAGGCGGGTGTTTGTCATGAATTGGAACAGGCTCAATAGTAGTGGGTTTGTTGATTGGTTTGGTGCAATAATTGAAAATCACAACTTTCTAATGAAAATGTCTATCATTATAAGTCAAATAAGTCGAAAGATTGAAGAAGCACACATACAAAATTCTGTAGAAGGTTAAAGAAGGAACAGTGCCAAATGACATCTATTTCCCAAGATTGGATCTCATGTTGTTACTTTCCCTGTCAGTGAAGTGTGTGTGTTGGGGTGGGGGGAGGTACAGATCTCAGAGCCCTCTGGGAGTGCTGAGGTAGCATCCTAGCTACCCCACCAGCCTCTAGCCTCTTCAGTAGGAATTTTCAGCCCTTCCAAGAATTCACTACCCAAATTCGCAGTGATTTACTCTCTTCTGACATGACTGTTAGTAATTTTTCAACTATCTGTATTTTTTTTAATTGCCTAGTAAACATAGATTGCCATTTATCCATATGTTAAAAGCTCATTCTAAGCCATAAATGTTGTTGTTGATGTTAGCCGCTGTGCAGTTGGGGCAGTGACTTCCTGTAACAGAGAGCACAACTGCTCCACAAAGTTGCTTTGCACAGGAGCTTTGCTAGAGCAAAGGGGAAGAGCTTGGCTGTTTGTGAAAAGTTGATGGTTCAAACCCACTCAGTAGATCCACCTAGAAAACTCTATTATTGTTGTTGTTGTTGTTGCCATGTCCAGTTGAGTCTGAACCGACCCATACCTGACACCCCAGTGAGTTTTCAAAGGAATTGCAAGAGAAGAGATTGCCGATCTTTCTCCTACTTAGCAAGTAGTGGATTCGAACCATGTACCTTTGCAGTAGTAGCGGTTAGTTCCTTACCACTAAGCCACCAAAGCTGAGAAAGCTCTATAGCACATTTCTGTTTAACATATGAGATCACTATGTGTCAAAATTGACTTGAGGGTGCCTACCAAACAACTTTTATGGAAATGAATAAATATCAAGTAAATAAATAAAATAATGGAGCTAGATCCGCAGACCTTTCCTCACCGAGCTCCTGGGTCAGTTTAAACCACTATATGGTTAAGTTAGCTGCTAATCACAAACCACCTGACTGTTCCACAAGGCACTTTTACGAGTTTAAAAATTGATTTTAGGGAGGGAGGAAATTATGCAAGAATGAATGATTTATTTTTTAAAGTGAGCTGGGAGTGGGTAGGGAGAAAAATGTGCAATAATAAATGAATGAAAATCCAACTTTTCTGTAAACTTCTAATAAAATCACAATTTTTTAAAAACATCTTAAAATCTCACTCACATTCATAAATAGACAACAGTAATGATGCCACAACATGCAAGTTGAGAAGCACTTTGTAGGCAGTAAGCGCACAGTTCTGGGTTAGAAAGTTGTATTAATATGTGATTGCAAGTATCTTCACACTTGTCCTTGCAGTAAATGTGATTACAAATCAATCCATAATTCAAACCATACACACAATAAACAAGCAGATATCAAGTCCAGTTCAATATTAAATCTATACTTAGGAAAAAAAATCTGTATCTATTATCTCAACTTTTCCTCAATAGTTCTTTAAAGTTGAAATGAAATTTGTTGTTCTCAGAAATAGATGTTATTTCCTTTCTGAAAGGCAGAATTACTTACATTTTCCCCATTGGATCTTTGAAGAATTATCAATATATTATCCTATATCCCATGAGGTAGAAGTTAGGATGGGCACTCGGCTCCCATCTGGATTTCTAGGCTCAGAAACTTGACAGAGGGGAGCTTGAGACAGAATCAGGAGGGAGGGAGGCAGAGAGGGAAGTAGGTAGGTAGACAGACAGGAAGACAGACATTACCTGTACTCACTGACACTATTGTACTGATGTGGGGACCAGAAAAACCAAACCAATTTCCAATGGCCATTAAAAAGTGCAAACTCGTGCAATCTTTCAGGAAAGGAAGGTTGAATCATGAGGGCTAAAGCAAAGTGCTAGACAAAAAAAGGGGACGGGGGAAGTGGATGTGTATAAAAACTGTGATTGTCAATAATAGATAATCTAGACTCAGAATATGGAAACATACTGGTAAATCTGAATAAAATGAAATCTCAAGTCAGCCCCAACCATGAGACTGTGTAAACTTGGTTCCCATGAAGATCCAGCTGGAGTTAGGTTGTCTGTGTGTGTGTTTCCCTCTCTGTGGGAGACGCACGAAAGAAACCAGAGTTACTACTTTGTAGGCTTTGCTACTTCAGTGTCTTAACATTCAATAGTTTCAAATGATGAGTAATTAGGGTGAAAATTATTATTTTCTTTTCTTGAGAACACTTTCATAAACATAAGATTTTAATCCTTTCCCTGTAATTAGATTTCTATGATGCACTCCCATGGTGTTTTTTTGGTATGGTTTGGGGAAGAAAGGATTTATATAGATTTCATTCTCATTAACCAGAATATAAAAGGAACATTTAATGAATGTTTACAGATCAGCATTGATTTATGCAGCTGACACAATAAGTCTTGTCTCTGGTGAATAAAATGTGCTCAAATGGGCCCCTGCTGGCAGATTCCGAGCGTTTCCTTCTGAGTGAATCTTTTTCTTGTGTTGTCTTTAACAGCCCACCTTTCCTGTAGGTCCTGCCATCGGGACAAACACAGCTATTAGCTTTGCTCCTTACTTAGCACCTGTCACCCCTGGAGTTGGGTTAGTCCCAACGGAAATTCTACCCACCACACCTGTTATTGTCCCTGGAAGCCCACCTGTCACTGTCCCGGGCTCAACTGCGACTCAGAAACTTCTCAGGACTGACAAGCTGGAGGTACTGTGGTTGTTTGGGGTATGAGATGTGTGTGCGTGTGTGGAGGGAGGGCACTTCTGTATAGGGGAGCGCTGGAGGGAAGTAGTCCTGCAAGACAGCTGCATGTGCGCATGCGCACGCGAACAGCAAGCCTGGGTACCCATACGCATGGACCCATACCTAACACCAGTGCAATCCTGGGCTTCAAAATGAAAGCAAAATAATCCATGGGGAAAGAAGAACTTTAATCCAAAGGTGAACAGTATATCACATAAATCTTTGACTAAATAATGTATATTCCTTGCATGGGAACTGTGTTTCCGTGTAAAATACGTAAGGACCAACCTCTGGATCAATCACAATTCATGTCTTAGAGCGCCCTCCTGATAAACTATAATCTCTGCTGCATCCTGGAGAGGTCCAGGGGTAGCTGGGCAGGGGTCCAGCAATCAGAGTAATAGGTGCACTCGGGCAGGAGCAGGGAAAGGAATAAAGAAAGGTGGGACGAGGACGACATCCCTGTTGGAGTACTCAAGGGTGAATCACCCAAAAAACAAGTTAAGCGTGAGCTTACTTTTGCCTTTTTACTCCTCTGTACAACCACTTCACATGGGCTTGGTGTGAACTACTCATTACAGATAAATACGTAAACTCAGCACGCTCATGCTTACTGCACACACTGTTGCTATCGAGAATTCTAAGTTTGAAAAGAGGCTTTGATTCTGTAGGAAGATGTCGTGGGAATGGGAGAAAGATGCCAGAGACGGAACCTTTGATGTGGTGAAAGACAATGCAGCGTGAATACATTCACTTCAGTTAGCAAGTCAGCGCAGTAAACTCTGCCTTGCCTTGCTCAGTAGGTAATCCCTCCTGCATATAATCATATTTCAAAGTTTCAAGGATGAGTATTTCTGTTTCAGTCTGTAGCAAGTATCAGCCCTGGGTCACTGGTAATAGGGAGATGTTAGATCCTAGATAAATTTGGTTCTATCTTTATTCACATAACTCCAAGGGTACTATAAAATTTAATACAGTTTATATCTTCTAACGACATCATTCTTAAGGTGTGAGTGAAGATGCCTTGCCTTTACTTTGTTGGGTCAAGTTTCTCTTTAATCAAACTCAAACCCATTTCTGTTGAGATGGAACCTCCTCGTAGCTGACCCCGCAGTGGGCTTCTGGAGGCTACAGATCACGCATGAGGGGACTGTCCATCCTTCTCCCCAGGAGCCCTGTGCTGGTTTCCAGCCACCAGAGAGACACAGCCTTTCTGTAGGGCAACTCCTTCAACTATGCCACCTGAGCTCGGAAATCTCCATCCATTTGTCTTATTACATGACAATGACAACTTAGCAGAGCACTCAAATAGGTTTCCCGAAGAGATTGTTTCATTCCACCACTGATTAGATTCATTAAGTGATTCTGTCATGTGTCTAAGGCTAGGATGTCCATTGTATTTATGTTGGGTCACTCAAGAATGTTCTTTTGATGGACAGTAGTCTAAATATTGACCCAACAAGTAAGTCTTAAGGATAATGAAATGTTTCTGCCTGTTGTCCTGAAAAGGTTTTAGAATTCAAAAATTTAAACAAAAAATATTTATATATAAATAAATATATAACACTATTTTCCTAGAAAAGAAGCTGCACTGCAATCCCAGAGGTACACGGTTTGAATCCACCAGATGATCTCCTGCAGAAGGAGGGGCAATCTTCTCCTGTACCAGTCAAATCCAATTTGATGGTACACACACACACACACACACACACACAATAATAAAATTTTAAAAAGTCTCCCAATATTTTCTTTTTAAATTATATAAACATATATGAATATAATGTTCTATATTAATTTCTAATTTAATATATATTAAGTGTATATTTCATGATGCTTCAATTTAGAGTTTATGGACTTCAAACTGTAAGCTCTAAGCTCTATTGAAAACAATCACGCCTTTAACAATGAATAGTGAATAGATACAACTGGCTGTTGTTTGGGGCTCCCCCTGCTGGATCTATTGAGCCTTCGTGTTCAATAGGTGACGTGGCTGAGTTAGAAGTCAGAGGCACTGGGAATGGAGTCCTTCTAGACAAAGACACGTGCAGAAATCATTTACCGTGACTTTACCAGAGCAGTGTTCAGTTCGTTTCAAACTCGAAATGAAGTCTGAAGAGCAGTGGTCTACACAGAACCCCTAGATAAATGATCGATGGTTTTCTGCACCTATGATGCAGGGATAGACTCCACTTGTTCCATTTATAGAGGAAGGCTTACTCAGAATCCGTGGGAGTCTCTTTTCCTATTTATTTTGTGTTTTATTAGCTAAAGATAGAATATTAGCTAATAACCACAGGTGGGAGACAAGGATTGGCAATTTTGTGGTTTCTCCCACTTCAAACTCACTTGGCCACTGCTCAGCAAAACTTGATTTCAAAATATGTTTACCTTTCACAGGGCTTGAGTTTCATGTCAATGACCCTTCATATACCGTCATAGGTTTTCAAGATATGAGGCACCACTACAATAGACTGACTTTTGATGTGAAGTCTAAAAAGAAATTAATAATACAACTAATTTTTCCTTGAAAATGATCTTGATAAATATCAGAAATATACATGTTGTCATCCTTGCTATTTACATTACAGGGGAGAATTGAAAACATTATATTTTGGAACAAACCTTCCTTTATATAATATAATCTTCTTGTTTTTGTATGTCATTTAGTCAGAAAGACTCATAGATTACCCTCCAGAGGTTTTTCAAAGGTGGTATATCACACAGGAGGAGATTGCTCATCCTTCTGGTGGATTTGAACCACATGTCTTTGTGATTGAAGCACAGTTTTTTACTACTAGGCCACCATTGTATCTCCTTTTTTATCTTTTTGGGGAAAAAAAATTGGGGGGGGGGCTGGATGATACTTTTAAAAATAATAATATATTGACCTTAACTGAAAGTGTTATGTCTTGGATATTTCTGTTCTTTAAATTTGTGAGTAGAGTCATGGACTATTCAGATTAACCTACCCCATGCCCCATCCTTGGAGAGAGAAAGGATATGCTTGTCATTTCCTTGGATACTCTTTGGGATTGTATAGCGATGGCCTTGTGACCTGATGTAGGGTGGAAATATCCCTCCAGGCAAAACCTATACCTTCTCTCAATGCTATAGAGGATTGTCAAGATGGGGGATTCAAGGACGCACACACACAGAGGCAGAGACACAGAGATACTGCCTAGGCATCTCAAAGCAAACTTACTGTCATCAAGTCAATTCCAATTCATACTTTTTCAGAGGCTGCCATACTTATGACAAGACACAGCCTATCATCCTCAGTTAAACAGCTGTTAGATTAGAACTTCCCACATTTTTGTCCAATACATTATACACCAGGCCACTAGGATTGTATTGTTGTTGTTGTTGTTAGGTGCTGTCGAGTATGACTTACAGTGACCCTATGAACAACCAGACTGAAGCCTGTCCTGTCCGGTGCCATCCTCACAATCTCTGACACCCTGAAGGCCCTTGTCGCAGCCACTGTGACAGTCCACCAGATTAGATCTTCTTCTTTTTCAACCCCCGCCCCATCTTTGCAAGCACAATGTCCTTCTCCAAGGAATAACCTCTCCTAGCAACATGCCCAAAGTATGTGAGACAAAGCTTCATCATAGATCTCTATTATATATGTTTGGATATTATCCATTTTTCATATGTAAATACATTTTTAAAAATAGAGAGCTAAACCTCCTGTCTTGACAATATGCTATAAATATCTTTGTGTATGTTTGTGTACATATGTCATATGCATACACACTTAAAGTATACACACATATCTTAGAGATACTGCAGGTTCTGTCCCAGACCACTGCAGTACAGCAAACAATCAAACATGATGATGAGGGACACAATCTGCATGTAAAAGTTACGTTTAACTACACTGTAGTCTCTGAGATCCACAGTGGTGGTGGTGGTGTTACGTACAGGCACATGGACTATGACTGAATTATAGCCCAACTTGTGAACCCCACATTAGAACCCTGCCCTGTCCTGCACCATCGTCCCCGTCTCTGGTAGTCACCATGTCCGTCTGCCTCGTTGAGGGTCTTCCTCTCTTTCACTGACCCTCTGCTTTCCCCAGTCTATAATAGCATTATGGGAAAGTTTGAAATATTGTGAAACTCACCAAAATTGGAGTCCGAGACATGAACTGAGCAGACACTATTGGAAAAAATGGCACTGAGAACCTTGCTTACTGCAGGGCTGCCAGCAACGTTCATTCAGTTGGCCCCCAAAAAGCCGTCTCTGTAGGGTGTTGTCCTGCTAACACAGGCGGTGCCTCTCTGGCAGTTCAATTCCACCAGTGTCTCCTCTGGGGCTAGATGGACAGTCTCCTCCAGTGCAGTTTACAACCTCCAAAGTCATGTTAGAAGTTGAACTAAGAGTCAGATTCTGAACCAATAGCAATGAGTTAAAAAGTGTGTGTGTGTCCCTATTTGCTACCCAGGGGCATTTCCCCCCCTCCCCTTTCTGCTGTTTTAGCTATATTGCAGATTATGGCTTATTTATCAACATAGGTTTCTACCCCAGAAAAGGGGGCAGAGCGCAATTCCAATTCATCCATCAGGATTCTAGTTATTGGGTCTGGAGAATGAAAATGTTGCTATAAACGGCACTTCATAGCCACTCTGAGGATTCTATTGTTCCTAACGCAAGTGGCTGCTGGCCTTCTGTCTGCATCGTTCCCTCTCACCCCTGTGTCCCCAGGTATGCAGGGAGTTCCAGCGAGGCAACTGCGCCCGGGGGGAGACCGACTGCCGCTTCGCACACCCTGCAGACAGCACCATGATCGACACGAACGACAACACCGTAACCGTTTGTATGGATTACATAAAGGGGCGTTGCATGAGGGAGAAATGCAAATATTTTCACCCTCCTGCACACTTGCAGGCCAAAATCAAAGCTGCCCAGCACCAAGCCAGCCAAGCTGCAGTGGCTGCCCAGGCGGCTGCAGCTGCGGCCACAGTCATGGTAAGTGGGGGGCACCCGCCATGCCCGTCTTCCTCCCGCTGCCCCCTGCCCCCTATCCTGCCAGGCAGGGCTGGGCAGAGACGCTAGAAGTTTTCTGTTCTTCAAAAACAGTTGGGAAATCTGGAAGGCTGCTATTCCTGCTGCTGTGCTGCGTAAACTGTGGTGTTGTTTCCCCTTTATTATTTTGTTGTGTTTCCCCCTCCTTCTTTCACTTCTTCAGTGCAATAAATAAATCCCTCGGGCACAGGTAACCACAGGTGGACAGGGAGTTTTGTTCACGGCTCCCAGCTTGGCCGAGAGACTGAAATGTATTGGCTTGATTACTTCTTAAGAGAGGGGCTCAGAAATCCAGGTGGTAAACAGGAGATGGGCACTGGAGCTTATGACAAGGGGAAATGGATCTGGGCCGCTGCTGAGTGCCAGAAAGCAACCGCGTTTGCTCGCTGCCACTGGAAGAGAGGTGGCAGAGACACAGAGCAACAGGGACAATCAGCGACTGGGGCGCTTTCTACCAAATGCTATTCATTTATCGACCAAAAGAGCCATTTTGTCAAACTTTCCTTCCCCAAAGTGAAATTTAGTGCAGAGTCTCAGTTCATGGGATGGATGAACATGGAAGTGGCCTGGCTGGTGCTAGGGAAGACTCACACCCCGCACCACCCTGCAATCCAGCCTTGCTTTCCCTAGTTGCCTCCATCTAGCCTGACTGGTCCTTGGAGACCAGCAGAGGCAGCCTTATTCTCCGTCACCTGTGAGCTGGGGAAAAGCGCCCGCATCTCCCGGTGACAACACCTTAGAGACCAGTATCATGAGCATCACCTGCGAACCTGCTACGGCTTCAGACCCTCAGGCACCACCAGACCTTGTGATCAGAGCTTGTATTTAAATATAGTCCCAAGGCTCTGCGCATGCACGTGAATGTCAGAGACCTATCCGCCTGGATCACTGCGTTTAAATCAGCTGCTGGTTGGCATCACCTGAGGGTTTTGAAAGGGTCAGAGATAAGGCCCTCCTCCCAGAGTTTTCTATTTAGATGGTCTGATGTGTGTCTGGCCTGGGATTTGGAATCTTTTCAGGTGATTATATCACGTAGCAAAGTTTAGGGGAAAGGCAAAAAAAAGCACTCCACACACAAAACAACACTAGGTGTTGAAGTTCCTCCTTTATATAATATCTAGCTTACCAGGCATCTGTTTTAGTATCACATCATGGTCATAGTGCCTCCCTCCTTCCCTCCCTCCTTTCTCTCCTTTCCTTTTCCTTTCCTTTCCTTTCCTTTCCTTTCCTTTCCTTTCCTTTTCCTTTTCCTTTCCTTTCCTTTCCTTTCCTTTCCTTTCCTTTCCTTTCCTTTCCTTTCCTTTTCCTTTTCCTTTTCCTTTTCCTTTTCCTTTTCCTTTTCCTTTTCCTTTTCCTTTTCCTTTCCTTTCCTTTTCCTTCCCTTCCCTTCCCTTCCCTTCCCTTCCCTTCATTTCTGTTGAGAGCTGCCATGCATCAGGCACTTTCTGGGTAGAAGAAATGGACAGGTCCCCTTGCCCTCAGCGAGCTTGCCACTTTTTAAGAACCTGCAATCATCCAAACAGATGAATGCAATAGTGCTCCCCAGTGACACGCTGGAAATGTATAATAGGGTCCCCTGGGGCCGAAAGAACTCTGTGGCCACCGCCTCTTTGGGAAGGCGAGACAAGGCTTCTGAGATGAAAGATACAGTTTAAAAACACGCTGTTCTAACTAGCAAGTACGTCATTCATTGATACCTAATCAGAATGCAAACAAGTTCATCATTACTCAGCATTCTTTGCACAAACACTGATAAAGCCTGGTCTTCTGACAAGTATTAGGGAGCAAGGTGAGGGAGAGCCTGCCCTTGTGGGCTCAGTGTTTACTGGGCTGTGCTGCTTTGGACCCTCCTGACCTGAGTTGTTTCCAAGCATGCTGGCCACTGGGGACTCCATGCGTCTCCCTTGTTTTTCCTCTGGGGTCCCTTCATCTGCTTGTCTGTGCTCTTCTCAGTCTTCTCTCATTGGACACATCCTCGCCTTTTGTGCTTGTGTGTCTTCTATATGTGGAGATTTACACCTCCACATAGAAGAGTCAGTACAAAACATTTCTTTTGTTGTGATTGTTTTCGTAAGAAAATTCTTTTCAAAACAGAAGATAATAATTATAATGAGGGGCTTAGAGAGTAAACTGGGAAGTTAATGACAATAAAAATACTATTTGAGAGAGAAAATATGTTTTATACACTTTTTCAGCCCGGGATCCCTTCTCTCACGTCACTGCTGTTGAGCAGGAATCGACGGATAGCAGACGTCCCATTGGGTTTTTGAGGCTGGAAATCACACACGAGCTTGCTCAGCAGGATCATGATGGATAGGGTTTCTCGGACTTTTTTTTCAAAAGTGGATTGCCAAGCCTTTCTTCCTAGTCTTAGTCTGGAAGGGCCACTGGAAGCTGCTAAACATTAGCACATACTCTTTGCCATCAACTTGGAACCAACTTATAACCTGACTGTTGAGTTTCTGAGGCCTTCAATCACATGAGCGGAGTTGGCCCATCTTTTTCTGTATCGATTGAAACTGTCAGATTCAAGCTTCTGAGTTAGTACAACTGCTCCATCCAGAGCTCATGGGATCCATTTCCCACCTTCTTATTAACGAGCACATCCTCTGAAAAGCATGATTATTTTCACTGTAATTATTACTTCAGGTCACCTCCAGCATATCCTAATTGATGTGCTGATTTTTGGGCACTAAGAACACTTTTTAAATGGAATTCCTATTGTAAGTGATAACTAGGTCTCCAGGATATACTCCATCTAGTTAGAACTCTGTTTACAGAGGCACAGTCCAACTGGATTAACTTAAATGAAAGAAAAGGAAAAAAAGTTGAGCCTTCCTAGATCATGAAGTATCCATCAAAGGGAGTGGATTTAAAACTGGGCTCAGGTGTGTCTAGATGTCTGGACACAGCATCCATCTTCCTCTTTTCTGACTGTCTTGATGTGTCAACTTCATCTTTCAAAGTCAGTTCCTGCACAAGACCCCACGGTCATAGGTCATAATACTAGGATACTGTGACCGGTTAGCCTGAGACAGTGACCATCTCTGTGGCCTGGGGCCAATAACTTATGAGAGAAAGTTCATAAGATATGGAAGAGGGAAAGTCCTCATGTTAAGTGGATAAACCCTAATGGCACAGTGGTTAAAACACTTAGCTATGAGTCAAAAAGTTGACAGTTCAAACCTACCACCCTCTCCAGAAAACAGTAAAGGCAGTCTGCTGCTATTAAGATTTACAGCCTTCAGCATCCTGTGAGGCCAGTCCACTCTGTTCTGGACGGTTGCTGTGAGTCAGAGCTAACTGGACAGCAGTGTTAGGCTTTGTTTTCTTTATGTTTTAATTGGAGCCACTGGGTGGTGCAAATGGTTGTGCATTGGACTATTAACCAAAAGGCTAGAGATTCGAACCCGCTCAGAGGAACCTCAAAAGGCAAGCTTGGGGCTGCTCTGCAGCATTGAGGACCGTAAGGGACATGGAATCTCCAGAGGTGCGAATCAAGCCAACAGCAGCTAACATTCCTCGAATGCCATTGACACAAACAAGCAAACCAAAGCCCGGTACTGATCAAGACCTGCAGATTCACTGACCTTATCTGAGCCTTGGTTCTGTCTGCTAGTTTCACGTTCTATCCATCAAGCTAGAGAAAGTTTACAGCAGAGAACGTCAGAACACAGTCACCATAGTTTCTTGGATGAATGCACTGTGCCCAGATCTGGCGTTCTGATATTTCAGGAGATCTTGCAACATCCTCAAAGACAACCCAACGAAATGTAGTTTCAGGACAAAAGCCAGCTGCTTTCTGATGATGACATGAAAATTGCCACATCTTCTCTGCCTTTTTAATTGAAAAGAGAGGCTCATTTGAAAGATATGGTTGGGAAAAGTCAGTCTTCTTACTACAGCAGCAAGATGTATCAGTTCACTGACGAGAAACTATTGTTTTATATCCTTACTGGAAAAAAAAATGAGACTGGTGAGAGTACACAGAAAGTAACGAAAATCTTATTTGCCCAGACCTGAAGGATTCCCATATTACCTTGTCATTTCTCCAGGAGGAATTTCTCCCTTCTCTTGATCTGTTTACTCCATTTTAATAAAAACAAAAACAAAAAATCCTCACAGAGTCCTGACTTATGATATTTAATGTTATAAGATAGAGTGTATATGAGTACTTGAATGAAAAATAAATTTTAAAAAGTAGAGCCTTGCTTGTAGAAAAAAGACATTTCACTTCGTTAGAATCTTATTCTCTCTCTTAAAACATGAGACTCGCCCTCATCAGAAGTTTTTAAATATGAAAATCAGCCATGCAGAGCTTCTTGTTGGTAGTTTCAACACACACCCCCCTCATCTTCAAGCAAGCACATTTTCTTTTTACATAATAAAATGGGGCAACACAAGGAGGAAAGTGCTTTATAAAAGGAAACAGGATGACCTGCCATCTGTTAGTTACATTCAATTGTTCAAAAAAACATGTACAGGAACTTCGAATTCCATCCTAAACTGGCAGCTCCACTGATGTCATGGGGTTTCCTGTCCCGCCATACGTGCCTGTAACACCTGGGGTGCTGGGTTCTTGTTTCCTTGCCTTATCTCCACGCTGGATTCTTCCAGACCTAGAAAAAGAAACACCTGGCTGCATGGAGGGCCTCTTCCTACTTATTCACCCACTTTCACAAATCTTGAGAGGGCCTAGAATGGAGAAGAGCCACCACACTGGTGAGGCCAGCAAGAATGAATGTGCCCACACTGCTGTAATACGGGTTCTGTCCCCAGCTCAAACTCAACTCATTGCTGTTGAGTCCGAATTGACTCAAGTCTTTGGAACTGGTTGCTAATCCAAAAGTTGGTGGTTCGAATCCATCTAGCAAAAGCCAGCAGTGCTGCCTTTATAAAGATTACAACCAGGACGAGTCCGCAGAGCAGTGGATGGGATCACTGTGAACCAACAAATTGACTGCAGCCACCAAGAGCGGGCTGCTGGTACGTCGTCTTCTGCCTCCTCAGTCTACTTTGTCTCACTTTGGGTGGGTTCTCAGGAGGGGCTAGTCCCTGGGTAAGAACATAATACTTGGAAAAGTAGAAGGCCAATGAAATAGAGGAAGACTCCTAATGGGATGTATTGGCACAATGCTCACACCAGCGCGTTTGGCCACAGTAGTAACTATGAGAGTGGTACAGGATCCGGTGGCATTTTGATCCCAATGAGCCGAAGCAACTTGATAGCAGCTAACAATACCAGCAAACCCTCGACGAGATGGACAGACACAGTGACAGCAGCAATGAGGAGGAAGCAGGCTAGGCCCGCGTTCACACCCGTGGTTCGTGGCCTCACTATGACTCAACTTGAAGGCACCTAACAACAACCACAGTCCCAGAGCATCCCGTTGTTTGATAAAACAGAAAACGCAAAAGGCTGTGTCACACTTTGGTGTGGTGGAAAGGCGGGCGCTGCTGGCCTGCTCAGTCCAGAGGCCTTTGCTTCTTTGCAGTCTTGCAATGATACATTCTCATTGCTGTTAAGTAAGTTTCGTGAAAGTGAGATTAGAAGAAATCATTAAGCTACCAGGTGATTATCCTACGAAGAAATATTTAATATTTCTTTCTCTTCTCAGAGACTTCCATTGCATGATGAATTATTAATCAAATTCTGTTCATAAATACTAGCCTTTGGAGATATGATCATGATTCTAATTATCATGTTCTAAAAGGCCAGCCCAAGAGAAACAGATTAGCTTTGTAACTGTGTCTGCTCGGGAAAAGTGGAGGAAGCACGGATTCTGACTAGAACAGTTCCGTTCATGTTCTCAGTGAACTAGAGGAAGTCAGGAGCAGGAGTTCATCCATTGTGGTGTTGTTATGTGCCGTCAAGTTGCCTGTAACTCATAGCAATCCCAAGCACAATAGCACTGAAACCTGATTTAATGAAGATTTCACTGGACCTAAACAAAAATAAAACTGCTCTGTGTACTGCTATAAAACCACACAGAGACAAGAGTTTCAACAGAGAGGATTACAGCAAGCTGAAATTTGAGGAAAAAATAAGTAGTGCATACTCATCAGTTTTTCATAGCGTGTGACCAGTTGATTTTACAAGATACACACAATTCACATCATAGCATCAACTTCCTTTTTGATGGCCTGTGTCAAATCTGGCTACTCTAACCTGTTCTCCTCTATCACTTGTTCTAAATCTCTTCTCTGTCTATTGCCCTTTCTATTTTCTTTCTAGCTTCTCTCTCTCTTTTTTTTTATGTCCACAGTTATTTTTTATCTCATCCATATTTTTAATTCTGAATCATCAGATAGTGATTAATGTCCCTTCATTTGTCAAGGAGAGTATCAGTGTTTCCCATTGTAAGGAATTAGTCCTGGTACATTCTATTTCAAAAGCCACGGTTCTACCTCAGATGTTTAGGGAAAAGCCATATACATTTGTGTTTATCAAGTGAACCTGAGGGATTTACCTATTGTGCTTAACATGATATAGGGATTTTTCTTTTAATTTGCATTAGAGCTATTTCTTTGAATGTCTTTATTTTCACAGAATTCCATCATACAATTTTTAAATTTTTTTTTACAAAAATTATCAAGGTATAGGGAAATTTTTATTACAGTCTACATCAATCAACATCTGTTATTATTTCAACTGTTTAAATGTAGCTATCTGCTCAAAAGCATGGTTGTACATTGAAAACATTATTATACCTCTGCGGTCTTTGAAGCAATTCTTTGCTATTTTAGCTGTTTTCTATTTTTTTAGCTATTGGTCTTGTTCTAGCCAAGAATTCCATATTCTCATTAGCTGTGTCAGTCACTCATTGTAGCTAAGATCACAAATAGAATCATAAAATAGAAATTGTTGTGATACTCAAAGACACTGAATACCTATCTAAAGGATGTTTTCTTAGTGTAATATGGTAAGTTGTTTGCCACGAATTATAATTTTAAATATCGTAGAGAACATAGAACAGATGATAAGTTAGTCACTAGAGAATGTATGATGGGATCAAAGTGGGAATTTCTAGAACATTACCAGTCAAATTGAAGACGTTTGAAGACTGAAATCTTATTCTACATTGGAAGATCCCCACTAGCAGAGTGAAGAGAAGAATTGAGACAATTATCTGTATGATTCAGACAAAAAAATAAAGATCCAAACCCAAACAATTTTGCCAAAATATCTTGTGTTTGAATATTTTTTTTTTGCCTGAATTTTTTTTTTTTTGTCTCAGTTTGCCACTTCATTTTGTTAGATTAGCACTGGACCAAAAAATTACCTTGACAAAATTTTTCAACTTGGGCTGTATACTTAATGTATTTATTACTTTATATTTGAAAACTAACTTATCAGAAGTTCTTCAACCCTATGGCCCTTAAAGTTGTGCATTTTTTTTTTTCTGAAGCAATATAAAAAGTGCTTATGGTGTGTATGCAAGCTGCTGTTTTAATTAACTTTCCTGAATTTCAAACATCTATATTTTACTCTCTTATATGCTTTTAACTAAGGTATAGTAGATGCATTTTTGCTTCAATACTAATTTAAGGTGTAATATTCATTTCTTTAGAGAACATTTTTGTTGTTGTGCATGCCTAGTGTTTTGTACGTTGTATATTGCATTCAGAATATTTTTTTCCTTCTCACCTATCCACAATGCAATGCCGTTCCCATGATGCACCTCTGCTTGCTGTTTACCTGTATGTTAATTCGCTTGAATCCCATTGGCCCACTGCCATCATGTGCTCGCTGCCTGTTATTAAAAGACTCAGTCGACTGCCAAAGCAATGAAGCGACCTCTCGAAGCAACTGTAGACCTGGTACTTTGACCTTTCACCTTTCGCTTTGCATGTAGCTTTTCAGAGAACCATCTGAGATTTGTATTACTTGTAAAATATTGGTTGCAAACAATCATTATTGTTAATTTATGGAAAAAATCCAATAAGGTGTTTAGCCATCTCATTTCATATGTAAGATGTGAAATAAATTAATCCTAACAAATTTTAATACCTTTTCCAAAAGAGTGAAGCAAATTTGAATAACTTGGCTAAGAAAATGCTCATTGTAATTCTAATTAACCTGTAAATCCAAGAAATTACCATATTAGTTAAAGAAAAGAATAGGTATTAATAATAACACAAATGCTTCTTTTCCCCGTAGAATAGTTTAACTCATTTTAAGAGCTGAAGCCATTTCTTTTTTTGTTGTTGTTGCTTGATAGTTTTCCTCTTCCTGAGTTGAGATGCTCCTGTTTTTGGGTTACAGAAATCATGCTTTTGCTCTCAATAACAAATTCTCACTCATTTTACATTGCCGCTGTTTAAAATTAAGGTGCATGGCAGAGGCATCTTCTTAGCTGTCATTAAGAAAAAAAAAAAAAGAATGTTGCAATTGATTATCTCTGTGGACACTGAAGCTGTGTGTACTTTAAGTTCTACATGTCGTATCAAATTCTTCATCCTAGGCCTTCCCTCCTGGTGCTCTACACCCTTTACCAAAGAGACAAGCCCTTGAAAAAGGCAACGGTGCCAGTTCGGTCTTTAACCCCAGCGTCTTGCACTACCAGCAGGCTCTGACTGGTGCCCAGTTGCAACAGCACGCCGCCTTTATCCCAACAGGTATGTGTCCTTACTGTTGCCTTTCTCTGTCCTGTGTTCATGTGCCCTTCCGGTCATGTGCTTTCTTCTCATTCCTTTAAGCTCTTTGGTGGCACCTAGACTGCTTTGAAGGGCCCAGTGCAGTCTGAAACGTCCTCATTGTCCTAGCTATCTAGATGAACTTAACTGCTCTGAGTGATAGCTTAAAGACTGCTAGGAATCTAAAGCCAAATAGTTCATCAAGCTAAGTGACTGAACTGCTGAAAAAGCAAGCCGCAGTTGAGGCTTTTCCTTTCTGTATTTACACAAACACTCTGAAATTTGTTTATGTAAATAAGACCTTTAGCGAGTGACAATTGAAATGTGTCCTTAACACTTAATGACCTAAAAACAGCAATGACAGTAAATACTAACCTTTTCATCTTTCTATTCAGAACACTAAAACCCAAATCTAGGCTAATCAAATTAAAGTAATCCTATACTCCCTGTACTCTTTTATTCCTTCCTACCACTTTCTCAGTCCTTCTCCACTTTCACCAAGTTCTCAAACATACAGAGCTCTTGTTCTAGATAGCTGCATCAATGCCTGATGATATTAGGGGCTGGGGAGCATCAGCCGTCATTCACTGAGAGAGAGATTATGCTGCTCACAGAAGCTTGGAGCTTAAAGGGTTCGTAGAGAACGCTCATCCTGCTGATTGCTTTACAGATGAGAAAACTGAGGCCCCCTAAATGTGAAGTGACTTCTCAAGGTGGTACAGCTCGTGAGAAAAAGCTCTAGAACCTCCCTCCCTGCCCTCTGACAAGTCCACTTGAACTCACGTGTTGCTCGTTGATTGCTCTTTTAGAGCTTGGCGCCAAAAGGCAGATAGAAGTGGAGAAACCAAAGGATGATTTGTTCCGTCCTGTGCCCATTTTTTACCCACTTCCCTGACCCCAGACCCGCATACAGCATACAAAGACACACACACTTACTACAAATATGCTTAGCTTTAACCTCTTAGGCTCTGCCACAGACAGAAAGTGGCTTAGTCCATCCTGAGAAGACCCTCCAGGGAGGTCTCAGTGGCCAAGTAAAAGTTCTCCAGCTTAGGATAGAGTTGAGGGTAAATTGGGATGAATAGAAACTTTATCCAAAAAGGTTTGTCAGTCCTACTCCGTGTGGTTGAAATCTGAAGGCTTATCATGGACTTCCTTAAATACTGGGGCTTTCCTGAAATATCTTAAATACTAGGGCTTACCATCAGAGGGAGTTTCATCAATATCTCTGTGATTGTATAAAATCTACCATTTGAAATTAATTATTAACATACTAACAACAGTATTTGCAGTAATAAAATATAAGCCAAATGTTGTTTAGCGTTTAGTCTACTTGTTTTAGTTCTGCACTTATCTTAAAACTCATAGACTGGAGTAGAGTGTCATCTCTTACCCAGTACTTAGTGAAGCCTCACTCTTACCCTAGTTAAGCCTTAATTAACGCTATTCATAGGCACTTATAGCACAGTAAAACTTATCATTCACTTGAAACAAGATACACATAATCACTACAAGGTAGACTTACCTCGATGTTCTATGTGATTTCTACAAACATTTCATTGTAGATAGATGTCTTGGGCTCTAGACATTTAAGGAAAAAAACATTAGAGGAATATACAGTAAGGGGAGAGACGTAAGTGACAAGTCTGATTCTGAAGAACTGGTAAGAATGCCATTCCCATCTGCAAGGAGTGCCTATGACATTCAGAAGCCAACTCACTCTAAGATTCCCTAGTGTATATTTTAATGTCCCAAGCCATAATGACTTGATTTGTTAAGTCACAGGAAGAAAATAACCCACATTTCAAAACACTTTACTTGGAAACTACTAAAGTATTTCCAAAGGAGAGCTGAATACTATCCCATATGGGATGACCTGATTCGGGTTGCTGGAATGGATTGGGATGCTGTGGGGGTTGCTGTGATTGTGTACTTGCGCCCTCTGCTGGATCATTTAAAAAAAATGATCTGGTGTGTCAGGCAACACTCAATTCTGTGGACACACAATGTGGGTCCTAGCCCTCACTTTTGGCTGCGAATTAGAAGTGTTTCCCCTTACATGAATGATCTAAATATCATAAACATGTGTCTCTCATGTTCTGAAATAGTATTTCAACTTTAAGGCCTTTTTATATGGATGAAAGCGAAAAAAATTTATTCAAGGGAAACTAGCAGTTTCTTCATTAATTCCATGATAGAAATTTTAGTGTTCATTTTGGCTTTGGTTTTCATTTCAGACATTCTTTGGTGTGGACTACATTTTCAACCACATTAAAAATTATACTAGTCGCCAATTTTTCTCATTAAAATATCTTTAAATTAACCTATACATATAAAATTTCTTTTGTGATATAGAGATGATCAGCCCATAATTTTTAAACTGAAATGTTTTTCTCTTCCTAAAAATACTTTTTATTAATATTATCATAATATGAAACAAATTATGTTGTTGTAGAAGTTGCCCTTGGTTTTAAGATTGTTCCAAGTAAACTTTTGGGTATACGATTAAAATTCCCCCAGGGTGAATATGGAGGATGATTTATTAATTTTTACTCCTGTGAGGATATTAATGTAAAGTATTATATTCTTCTCAGAAACCATTATCATCACCCTAATTGATATTCTAGTGTACTTAACAGTGGGTGAGATACCAATTTTTTCCTTTCTTTTTGATAGAGATTACTTTAACCTAGTAGTTATAATTTTTTTGCTATGTTAGGAAGTGGCAAAAAAACCACTGACATTTAGCAGAATAGCATCATATTATTTCTTGATAGGCTTCTTCTGAGTCAGTCTAAGTACTCTTACAGACATTATCTCATTTCTTCGAAGATACTGCAGATCTGTCCGTGGAAGGCATGATGTGGTGTTTTTTTCAGATGGGTAAACTGAGGCTGACTACATTGGCAAAGTAGAACCATAGAGTTAATGGAATTATCCAGATGATTTTGACTAACAGAAAAGTTGAAGTATTTGTATAACTGATACAGAAAACATTTCTGAAGTCAGAACAAAGGAAACTCAGTTAAGCTTTCCTTGTTTTATATTATATTGTAAATAAAGACTAGAATAAGGGGAAATGTGGTTTTAAGTGAAATAGAAAGATCTATCTGGAAATGCTATGAACTTTGATAAATGTCGATAGTTATAGAAAGGCTTCAAGCCTTTTGTTCATAGGATTGCTATCAGTCATGCTCAGCTGGACGACAATCAGCAACATCAGTGTTCAGTGGAAACAATGTCTTTATAGCCATAGCAAACTGAGTATTAATATATGCAGTCCATTAAAGTAAGCAAGTGTTTCCTAAGTGTGTTCTGAGTTTCAGAACCAGGAATGGAACTACGAAGGACTTCAGAACTAGGTTAAAAAATGTTTATTACATGTTGTTGTTATGTATCAGCGAGTTGAAAATGACTCATAGCTGATTTTCAGAGACTATAAATCACATTGAGGGAGATTGCCTTTATTTCCCTCATTGAGCAGCTGGTGGATTTGAACCAGACACCTTTGGATTGGCAGCACAATTCCTTACTACTAAGCCACCAAATCTCCCTTTATATTACATAGTATATATTATATACATATAAATGATAGAGATGCCTCTTGTGGTGTAGTCCCTAGGGAGTTACACTACTAACCCAAAGAGAGTAATTTGAGGATAGAGGCAAAGCCATATTAAAGCGAGAGAGGAAGAGACAATAGCATATGCAGGGGTAACTTTCAGAGATAAGTCAGATTTCTGCAGCCCAGGTAAGGGTGGCAGCTTGGGGAGGGAAGAGTGCTCTTAACAGATTAGAAGTTTTCCATTGTGGGTAGCACACAGCACTTAAAGGAATCTGTGGAGAGAATTCGGGGCAGGGGGGAATAGCAGAAGGAAAAGGCAGAGATAGGACTTAAAAAGGTGATGAGGTAGATACTGAAAGACAGCTACTCACATGGCAAAAGCCGTGTGTTTTCAGTAGTCACATTAATGTTGATAATTTCAGGTGCACCCTGAACTAAAGTCCCATTTACATGACCAATACCAGCCCACATGGATGCAGCTCATGTGGCAATATCCATCACATCTATCTGCATAGCAAAGGAGGGTTTCTTCACATGGGAATCCAAGAGAATGAGAGTGGATTTTTAGAGAGTGGATTTTGAATCCACTATGCGTGATTAGTATATAAAATCATCCACACACTGAGTACTTGAATCATTTTTAGGAACATATTTCTACTAACAGAGCCCTCCCCAAAGACCAAGAGCACCCAATGCACACACTGACCACCGAGGCATGCCTGATCCCTGCCCTCATAGAATTTACACTGGAGAAAAAGAGATGGAAGTTAAATAAATATCCAAATTAACACCTAATTGTTGGTGTTAAGTACTAACCCTTAACTGACCCTCCAGCAAATTTTCAGTAAATACCATAGTAGGAGCTTGCCCAACTTTCTCCTGTGGAGCAGCTTATGGATTCAAACCAAGCACTTTTGGGTTGGAAGAAAAACTCCTTATCACTAGGCCACCACCACTCCCTAATACATAATTAGCAATTTTAAAAGTGCCATAAATTTATAAACAAATATTTCAATGAGTTATCAAAAATAGGAAACTGATTCAGCTATTCTAAAATAGTAGGTAAAAGAAAAATTGAACATATTTATAAATAAGTGCTATATTCCTTGAGATCTGGGTGATAAAAATAATGGGAAGTGATATTCTGGACATGTTGTTGTTATTGTTAAGTGCTATCGAGTCATAGACGACTCATAGCGACCCTATGAATGAAAGACCTGAACACTTGTATAACTTTCATCGTTTCTCCACGTTCTTAGAGTTTCTGGAGGCAAGCTATTTTGGAAGTGGATGTCTCTCCTGCTTCCAAATTCTAGAAGGGAACAATATGTATAAATATGTATAAATTTATATATATAAAATAAAAGTGTAAAAAATTTATATATATATATATACATATAAATATATAAACTATATA